CCGGGTCTTAAATCAAAAGGAAACGTTGACTTCTTCAAGGTCGAGAACGCAATCACACAGAATGAATAATAACAAGAGACAAAAATAGCCATTTATACTAATATCCATATTCTCTTGGATCTTATGGTAAAAGAGACAATAAGGCCTAGAATCCACTGATACAAATGGTAATAAACAGACAGAATCTCCCTTCCTGAATCTATGAGTACACACATTTTGGGCATTGAAGAGGTTAAATCAGGCAAACAGAAGGCTCGGCAGGTTATAAATGATAGTAATAGTTTCTCCATAGTTTACAAGTATCTTTTAAAGATCTATAAAATGTAAAGCAGACTAATGTTTATTGTGTAACTAATGCTTTCTATGTATTTATCATTAGAGCCTTAAAGTAACGATCTCTATTCTTTCTGTTGATTTAACACTAGAATTGCCAAAGATCTTTATAAGGCCGACATACAGCAAGTGATTTAGAGAGACTCAGTCTATTTCAGGCTGGGTTTCCATTGTCTTAATGAATAGCAGGTAATGCCATTAACTAGAGAGTAAATATTAGGTTACAGACAGGGAATGTGGTAAGGAATCTGCTACTGTAACAGAGATTGCTAATTACTCTGCAAACATAGCTTTACTTTGCAATACAACAGGCTATATTTAGCTTGGAGATTAAAGGGCACTCCACTTCCCAAATACAAAATAAATCACTATTAAGTAGATATACCCCATTGATAACATGTCTGCATTTAATCATGCATTTTTTTAATTGGAGGTATAAATAAACACAGTTTGCAAAAGTTGCAGATCTCTTGTCTGCAGCCTTTACAAACCCTCCTCTTCTAACCCCACCCAGACTTTCTGTGACTGTCCAATCACAGACTTCGCAACGCAGCTCAATGGGAAGTGTTTGCAATGCAGGTTAATTTGTAAAAGTGTCAATTTCTACTGAAATCTGGAGTGGATACAAAGTTACAATGAGAAACCAGCAATTTATCTGCACATAATGAGTTCATGGGAAATTAGGTCATTAAAACTGGGTTAATAGGAATTGGGTCATTAATAATTGTTTGATATAAAATTAGGTAATTAATTGTTTACTATGAGATTAAGCCATTAATATTGTTCAATATGAGATTAGGCTACTAATAACTGGCTACAATTAGATTGGCCCATTAACAATTGTTGTTTATTAGATTGGGTCATTAACAATTGTTTACTATAAGATTGGGCCATTAATACTTGTTGCTATAAGATCAGGCTATTAATAATAGGTTACTATAATATAGGTCCATTAATATTGGTTACTGTGACTAAATGCCTTTTGTCACTGGATTTTTAGGTGACAAGTTGCCCTTTGCCCCTGGCTGTTGGAGGAGCCTGAGTGCCAGCCTCCAGCCTCATGACTATGGCCCTGGGTTGTATGTCACTTTACAAACATTGTTTGGACTAATGGATTTATATTGTGCTGCTGCTGGCCCTTTAAGAACTGCATTGTGGTTTATGGACTTGTATTGGACCATGATGGCCCTTTAAGAACCGTCTGGGGATATATTGAGACTTTGTGTGACAATGCCCCTTTAAGACCAGTGTCCCCAGACTTGCTTAAAATCCTTTGTTTAAGGCTATTATTCACTTGGTTCAGTAAATGGGGCTTACTGAACCAAGTACCACACAGGCGGACCACCCAGAAGTGGAAGTGTGCAGGCAATTTACCTCCCAGGCTGGGAGCCTGCTGTAGGTAAATTGCCGACCATGGGGTGCCGCAGTTCGTGCAAACGAACACGTGGCGGCGGCCATCTTTGTTAATTCGAACGAGGTCAGCGGTATGTGTAACCAAATTCATGGAACTGAAATCGGCTAGACATTTCAACGAACACCGCTGACCCTTACCTTCTCCTACACTTCGTTTTCAGCTACAGAGACTAAGTCCCGTTCGGCAGTTTGAACTCACTGTTATACGGAGCCAAATACACGAACGGCCTCGGGACTTAGTCATTTTTCTGCATGAAATAGACCGACCTCACCGCCCAAAACTATGGAACTGTTTTGGGCATGAAAATGTGCTTGCGGTCGGTCATAAAGCACTTCTGTCTAAATTTTTAGCTATTAGATGGATTTGTTTTAATTTTGGATATGTGGCTCACCCAGATCCCCCGGTTCCGAGTATATACCCCCGGTTCCGATAATATATTTTTATGGGGTTATTGCATGTTTTGGGGTCCCTGTGATATGTTTTATAATACTGTATTTCTCTGCCTGTGATAATTATATTAACCATTGTGTTCAGTTATCATATCACAGGCAGAGGGGAGGATTTTGTGTGGGAGTGTCTGTGTGTATTGTACGGATTGATTGGTTGCATTTCAATACCCTGTGGGCAGTACTATGTTTGTGGATTGGGAATAAAAGAGGCTGTATGTGCCAGTACTGTCAGTTCTGCTTGACCACAAAACAAAGTGTCGTCTCGTTATTGGGGGATTTGGATTGTATGCTGATTGCCAGGAGTGTAAGCTGATTGTATGCTTTTCCTGTTCAGCTGTTTACAGCATTCAAATGCTTGAGAGCATTCGTATGCTTCTCCGGTTCGGTGGTTGTGGTGTCTGCTGCAGTGCTTGGAGTCCTCAGGAAGCGCTAGGAGCATCCTTCAACGGAGGTACCCAGTCGGGGTGCCAGGTGATCCGTTACAGTTACTATTAGATTGGGTCATTAGTAATTGATTCCTATAAGATTGGGCCATTAATACTTGTTGCTATAAGATCAGGCTATTAATAATAAGTTACTATAATATAGGTCCATTAGTAATTGGTTACTATTAGATTGGGTTATTAATAATTGATTGCTATAAGACTGGGTTGTTAATAATTGGTTGCCATAAGATAGGTCCATTAATAATTGATTGCTATAAGTTTGGGTTATTAATAATTGGTTGCCATAAGATAGGTCCATTAATAATTGGTTGATAGAAGATCGGGTTATTAATAATTGATTGCTAAAGATTGGGTTATTAATAATTGGTTACTATAAGATCACGCCATTAATTATTGGTTGCTATAAGATCAGGCCATTAATAATTGGTTGCTAAAGATTGGGTTATTAATTATTGGTTGCTATAAGATCGGGCCATTAATAATTGGTTGCTAAAGATTGGGTTATTAATAATTGGTTGCTATAAGATCGAGCCATTAATAAGATAGGCTCATTAATAATTGGTTGCTATAACTCAGGGGTGCCCAAATGATGGTTTAAAATTACAGTTTCTATGACGCTTTGTCTTTCTAAAGCATTCTAAAGGAATGCAAAGCATAATGGGTGTTGTAGTACAACCTCTGGGGATCTACCTATTGGGCTCTCTGAAATCACTAATACTCATCGTACTCATTCACAGTGTGTATGAATTAAACTCTATAGTAATTCTCCTGTAAACAGATCCTCATTATAAGATACTCACATTGAGTCCCCTCTCAGTATCCTTGTTGTTTATGTGAAAAGGCCTGATTTGGTTATTTATTTAAATGGCTAAAGTGTGCACAGTTTGCTGTGTGTGCTTAATGGAAATGACTAGCCCGCTGTATGCAGAGAGCACGGCCACTTTATTTGAAAGGTACATAGTCTGAGAGCCCTGACACCGTCTGTTTGTTTCGTGTGTTTGATAAATGTTCAATTATGTCACGCACAATGCTTTTGTGAAGAAATTAGGCAAAAAATGTGATTATTTGGTAGATCTGCGTATCACAGCATTATTTCTGTCCTGGGACTGTCTGCTTGATAAGGTTACTGTGTATTGAAACATACAACATAAATGGAAAATCATCTAAAAACAAGGTCTATGGTATATTCCTACACATTCTGCATTCTGATTTCCACTATTACATTCAATCTTTCCCCTCTCCTCCCTTATCTCGTCTCTCACAGGTAGAATTACAGACAGGTTGATACAAGTAGAATCCCACTGTTTGATTATTTCCCGAGGGTCACCACATCTCTATGAATAACCGGAGTATTACACTATCCCAGCCTTGTTTCTCTCTCCTCTTTTTACAATTTGATTGAGTCTTTTCCTGACTCCTTTATTCACGGATTTGCTCTACATTCTGAGAAAGCTTTTCCTCCAGTCACAGTCAGTTTACAGGTTTTGCTGTTGTTGTAAAAGATTGAACTTTCCTCTTCAGATCATTCCATTATCTAACTATAAAGGAGAGCTGATCAACCAGAACATTAAACCCACTGACAGGTAAAGTGAATAACATTGATTATATTATTACAATGACACCTGTAAAGGGGTGGGATATAGTAGGCAGCAAGTGAACAGTCAGTTTGTGAATTCCATGTGTTGGAAGCAAAAAAAAAATGGACAAGTGAAAAGATCTGAGTGACTTTGACAAGGGCCAAACTGGGACAGAGCGTCTCCAGAGTGACAAGTCTTGTGTGGTGTTTCCGGTATGCAGTGGTTAGTACATACCAAAAGTGGTGCAAGGAAGGACAAACCGTAAACCGATGTCAGGGCTATGGGTGCCCAAGGCTAATTGATGCTCGTAGGGAACGAAGGCTAGCTAGTCTGGTCCGATCCACAGAAGAGTTACTGAAGCTCAAATCTCTGAAAAACTTAATGCTGGTGTCAGAACACACAGTGCATCACAGTTTGCTGTGTTTGGGGTTTCATAGCCACAGACTGGTTAGAGTGCCCATGATGACCCCTGTCCACCAACTAGAGGTTGTTGCAGACCACATACCCACATTCATGACTATGGTGTTACAGGATGACAATGGCCTCTTCCAGCGAGATAATGCACCCTGCACACTGCAAAAATTGTTCAGGAATGGCTTGAGGAACATGACAAAGAGTTAAAGGTGTTGCATTGGCCTCAAAATTTCCAAGATCTCAATGCAATTGAGCATCTGTGGGATGTGCTGGAACAACAAATCCAATCCATGGAGGCCCCACCTTGCAACTCGCAGGACTTAAAGGATCTGCTGCTAATGTCTTGGTGCCAGATACAACAGGACACATTCAGAGGTCTTGTGAAGTCCATGCCTCGACACATCAGAGTTGAAGGGGTCCTACACGATATTAGTTAGGTGGTTTTAATGTTGTGGCTGCTCAGTGTAGAGTGTAGTAAAATAAACAATAAACACAATAGAAAGGTTAAAGAAGAGTATTTCTGGTGGAACTAGAGTGTTGCAATCAATTAGACATTCCACTGGTATCCACAGTGATAACCGCCCTTTAAGTCCCAGAGTAGGTTGTTTTTTTTTTTACTATACTTTTTGAATATTTCCCATTGTCTGTTATACCAGAATAGCCTGGACAGATAGGAAGAAGAAGTATTTCTTTAAAGAAATTAATCAAATAGATGATAAGGGAAAAATCTTAGCGTATGCAAATATTCTTTGTTTTTGGCTCTGGTTACTCTAAAAACATTAAATTTTTTGAAAGTAAAATGCCTTGTCTATAATTTGATAACATTAATTGCCTCATCCTGGGGAAATAGCCAGTTGTCTGTGTGGTCCCACTCACAGGAATGTGAGAAATTTGTTGCACATTATTTATTTATAGTTAGACGCTGGCAACCATCAGTACTTACAGCACAATCTGTTACATAAATGGGGTTTCAAGCTTTCGTGACCCTGGCTTATCGTTAGTCTACGATGACATGGAATCCAATCAGCTTAAATACAACCCCCCAAAAGACTCTCCCCCAACCTCTACACCTTCAAAGGCTCCAAGAAAACTCATCCATACAAGGATTATCTCTCGATTCTTGCAATCTTCAGAGCAGTGGTGCCAATCTTAGATCTCCAGCCGTTGAGAATTAAATTAAACTTCTTTGACTGTCATAGTACAAAATAACTGTATCAAATAATGGGAGTTGTAGTCCAGCAACAGCTGTGAAGTGTGAATTTGATTTTCAGATCTTGCCAAGTGTAATTTATTGAACAATTCTGTACTTTCACGAGCTGTGTTTACGGATTCCTAATGTACACTCACTCTATGTTACTTCACAAGGTATATTTATTGATCCCTTTTGCAATATGGTGTTACTGATACCATATGTACCTGTACCGTAACAGGTACATTTCCATATAGCTAACACTCAGTGTGCATCAAACCCACCTGATCTCATTTTAAGGTCCAGTAGTGTCTGGCAAACTGAAGACGCTTGAATTTTTTTTTGGGACGATAGTAGAGGCTTTTTTCTTAAAACTTTTCCAAACACCTCGTGTTAATGTAGGTGACATCCGATTGTAGTTTTGGAGACTTTCTGACCCTAAGGTGCAACTAATTTCTGCAAATCTCCAGCCGTGATCCTTGGAAATGTTTTTGTCCACTCAAACTATCCAACTAACAGTGCACTGAAACAATATAGACACACGTCCTTTTCCAGCTTGATTCATATTTCCAGATGACTGGAACATCTTAAAGGACCACTATAGGCACCCAGACCACTTCAGCTTAATGAAGTGGTCTGGGTGCCAGGTCCAGCTAGGTTTAACCCTTTCTTCTATAAACATAGCCGTTTCAGAGAAACTACTATGTTTATAAATGGGTTAATCCAGCCTCTAGTGGCTGTCTCTTGGTAAGTTTAACCCCTTCCTCCCCCTAGAGCCCGGCGGGAGGGGGAGCCTGAGGGTGGGGGCACTATAGTGATCCTTTAATTATTGCCCTGATGGTGGAAATATGCATTTTCAATGGACTTGCTATTTATTTATAGACACTTGCCATTTTGTGAAGGTCCACACCCTTTTGCTGCACATCACATCTTTATTCCTTGGTTTTTACCCATTGTGATCAATAACTAAGGGAATTTGGCCCACGTGTTACCTCATATTTGTAACCCTGTGAAACAGGTAGTCATGGTTGAACAATTTCCTGTTCCTAGTTACCCAGGTGTACAAAAAACTGTAAAATAAAGATTTTTTTATTTTATAAATGTTGGGTTTGCAATTGTTTGATATTCATGAGAGAAAAATTAAACAATAAGTAAATTTTTCCACAGCCTCCTTTGATAATATTTACCAAGGGTGCCAATAACAATTGGGTCACATCCTGTAACATATTCTTCCTCATCTTGCAGTCTCTGCACCCAGCGGCCGTGCGTATGCATGACTGACACTTGCGGCATGTTAATGGATGCCAGCCGCTGCGGATCCACGGCAAACTTACCCCCATGTCCGCTCACGTGATTGACGACGTCGGCGTGCATGTGACGTCACGCACACACCGTGCGCGCACGTTTTGGGGTCAAAGAGCGATTTTAGCCAATCAGAATAGGAGAGCAGGTATTTAAGCCTAAGATTACCTTTCCTCATTGCCCTGTCGTGGTATCCCTAGTGGTTGTCCGAGAGTGCGTTCTATATTCTGACATAGACCTGCTTGATTGCTACTACACCAGTAAACCCAATGAGATGGGCTCTATGAAACAAATGTGGAAACAGGGCTGGCCTTAGGGGTGTGCGAGCTGTGCGGCCGCACAGGGTGCCATGGAGCAGGGGGCGCCATGTGGCCGACACAGCTCACACATTGTTTTATTTCAGTCCTGTGAGCCACATCCACTATCTGCTGGTACTAGACCCTGTGGAAAGGGTCTACCACCAGCAGATAGTGTCACCAGCAAGTGTCCTTGGACAAGATACCTAATGATATATACCCCGCCCATCTCAATAATATGAGAATAACACGAGCCAAGTGAGTCATTTTGGCTTGGATGCTGCCTGGATTAAAAGGTCTGTGACCGATGCTACAGGGCAATCTGACAACAAGTGGGCTACTGAAACAAGCCATTCCTGGACACAAAGTGAGATCCTAGAAAAGGGTCCTTCAGGCACTCGGACAGTTCAAAAGAGCATAATTATTTGATCATAAAATGCAGCAGAGCAATGGTGGAGAGGTGGTGCATCATGTGCGGTGGGGGCGGAGTTAAACTGATGGTGGGGGCAGAGCTAAAAGTGCCGGATTACTGCTGCAGGGGAACCAGGAAGGAGTCCCTGCTTCCCCAACAAACAGTCTCCAGGAGCTGCACTGCCTCCATAATGAACTGTGATTGTCAGTTTGAATGTCTGTGTGTGTATGACTGTCTGCCTGTGTGTGTGTGATTGTCTGCCTGTGTGTTTGTCTGTGCGTATGACTGTCTGCCTGTGTGACTGTCTTCCTTTGTGTGTGTCTGTGTATGACTGTCTGCCTGTGTGTGTGTCTGTGTATGAGTGTTTGTGTCTGTGTGTATATGACTGTCTGCCTGTGTGTGTGTGTGTCTGTGCGTATGACTGTCTGTGTGTGTGTGTGTGTGTCTGTGTGTATGACTGTCTGCCTGTGTGTGTTTGTGTGGCTGTCTGCCTCTATGTGTGGGTGTCTGCCTGTGTGGGTGTGTGTGTCTGCCTGCCTCTGTGTGTGTGGATGTCTTCCTGTGTGTGTATGGCCGTTTGCCTCTGTGTGACTGTCTGTATGTAAGTATGTGTTTGTAAGACTATGTGTGGCTGTGTGTGTGTGTGTGTGTAAAACTGTATGTGTGGCTGTTTGTGTGTGTGTGTGTGTGTGTGGCTGTCTGCCTGTAATTGTGTGTGAGTGTGTTTACCTACCTGTAACTGTGTATGTGTGTTTCTGCCTGATCCTGTGTATGTGACTATCTGCCTGCAACTATGTGCATGTGGTGGATTTGACAGTGTATATATCAGGGCCGGACTGGGAAAAAAAAAAATCGGCCCGGGCATTTTTTTATCACAGCGGCCCACTAAGAAGGGGGCGGGGCAGAGAGGGTGTGTTTTGTCATCACTCATGACAAACACGCCCCCTCTCAAAGTGAGCATGTTGGTTCAATGCTCTTCCAGGGCAGACCATGCACAGAGCTCTGCTGAAGAGCTCTAGCATGAGAAAAAAGCCCTGTATTTGTTCTGCACAGTGCAAGCAAATTTAATAACATGCTTGCACTGTGTTTCCTTACAACTTGTCTCTGGTGTCTCTATAAATGGATACCAGGAGACAAAAGGGCCAGGAAAGAGTATTGTGCATGTGTTTGGAGCCTGCTTGGGGTATTGCGTGTGTGCAGAGTGAGCTGGTCATGGTGTGGTATTGTGTAATAAGGTCGGTTTTAGTCGTGTTGTGTTTGTGGTGTAATGTAATGCATATGTGGCTAGGGGCTTTAGAGAATGTGTGTTTAGGGGATGTAGCAAGTGTGTGTATACAGGCTATAGTGTGTGTGTGTAGGTGATGTAGTGTTTGTAGAGAGTGTGTATTCAGGGAATGTAGTATGTGTTTGCTTACAAGGAATCTAGTGTGCGTATAGGGGATCCAGAGTGTGTGTGTGTTTGAAGGACCCAGAATATGTATAGGAGATCTAGTGAGCGTGTGTATATAATGGATTCAGAGTGTATATAAGGATCTAGTGTGTGTATGTGTGTAGATGATCCAGAGTTGGGTAGAGGATCTAGTGTGTGTCTGGAATGAAATGTGTTTAGGGGTGCTGTGTGTGTGTGAGGGGTGCTGTGTGTATATTTATATGTGTATATATATTATATAAATATGTTTGGAAGTATTGTGTATGTGTGTGATGCAGTGTATCGGGGGGGTTGTGTGTGTGTATGTGAGGGGTGCAGTATGTGTGTGTGATCTGTGTGAGGGTGCTGTGTGTGTGAAGGTGCTGTATGTGTGGGTTCTGTATGTGATTGATTTGTGTGAGAGTGCTGTGTATGATGTGTGTGAGAGTGTTGTGAGTGCTGAGTGTTATGTGTTAGAGAGTGATGTGTGAGAGTGCTGAGTGCTGTGTGTGAGAGTGTTGTGTGTGATAGTGCTGTGTATGTGTGTGAGAGTGCTGTGTGAGAGTGCTGAGTGTGATGTGTGTGAGAGTGCAGAGTGTGATGTGTGTGAGAGTGCAGAGTGTGATGTGTGTGAGTGCAGAGTGTGAGAGTGTTGTGTATGATGTGTGTGAGAGTGATGTGTATGATGTGTGTGAGAGTGCAGAGTGTGATGTGTGTGAGAGTGCTGTGTATGATGTGTGTGAGAGTGCAGAGTGTGATGAGTGTGAGAGTGCTGTGTATGATGTGTGTGAGAGTGCAGAGTATGATGTGTGTGAGAGTGCTGTGTATGATGTGTGTGAGAGTGCTGAGTGTGAGAGTGCTGTGTATGATTTGTGTGAGAGTGCTGTGTATGATGTGTGTGAGAGTGCTGTATGTGAGAGTGCTGTGTATGATGTGTGTGAGAGTGCTGTATGTGAGTGAGTGCTGAGTGTGAGAGTGCTGAGT